GCCAATAAAAGCCACAAAATTTTTTGAAAAGCTAATCCATGTACTACGGAAAACTCTTTTGAAAAAAGAATCCATTGTCATGTTTGAGATCCTTTTGACCTCATGCGGCTTTATCTCGATCACATAACCACTTCTATGCTGAGTTCAAAGCCCGCGAACGCAACGGCCGGACGGTTGAGCTAATTTGGAGATGTACTGGTGGGAAGGAGTTGGGAGGTGGTCTGGTCACATCCTCTAGCGCTGGTTAGATCGCCAACCAGGGTCAACCCTACGTTGTTACAAGTACCAACGGGGGGTCGTATTTGGTTGAGTTTGTAGGAGGGGGGGTCGTACTTGCTGCAGTCGCGCGAAATCGTATGTGAAATTGAGGTGAAAATGTCGAGTGATCTTAGAATTAAATACTATAGAAACAGCGACCATAATGGCGAGGGTGGTGAGGGGGGAGGGGGGTCGTGAAATTTTTGATTGGAAGAGGAGGGTCGTAAAAAATTTCCGAAAAGTCCAACGGTAGGAGCGACCCTGGCACCGACCAACGTTCTTTCCACCAGTGACGTCTACAAATTACAACGATGATTAGCTATCCAGTCCATCGCACTCACTGCCCGTAAAGGCAATAAAAATTGAGAGGAGAAAAATCAAATAAAAATCGATTAGTACCGTATCCACCCTACCGTGTATCCGACCTGCTGTTGAAAATAGTCTACAGCGTCGTCGATAAAACGAAGTCGAATTTCTCGTCGTCGCGCCGCACGGTCGTGAAAGATCTCATCCATGCGACGTCGGAGAAGCTCGCGTTCTCGGCTTAATAAATATATATTTGATAATACTATACGTATATATTTAATAGATGACTTAGTTCATGAAGAACGTTTGAACCAACAATGAGCGCAATGATCCACAGAGAAAAAAAAATTGAAAACCAGATGATTCAAAATGGAACTCGCTGTTTGTGTGAACGCTGTTTCTGCTCTCATACAGTATTTTCCCCATCTTTCCGAGTGGTTGCGTTTCGGAAACCGGAACTCGGAATTCTATCTACTTCATAAAAAGCACTTCGATCATAAAAATTACTCACATATATATCCGATATTGTTCGTCTTTACTTTCTTGATCGGTCGACGATTCGAGGAAGTAGAATATCACAGAGCCCACTACCATATAAATCATAATAAACATCAATGGGAACAAGTATTTGATATGATAACGTTTGTACAGCGCTTGCAAACGCCCTTTCCATGTCAATGGTGGCGGAGGCTCGCCACTGTGTGGCGATCGATGTGCACCAGACT